GGGTGTGCTCAGCGCCACTCCTGACGCCACACCCAGCCCGGGGCATTCCAGCAGCTAGACCTGACTTTTCTGTCAGAAGGGGCTGGGCCTGAGCTCTCAGGCAGCCAGACGCGGTGCCCCACAGGAGGCCATAATGAAGGCCCTTTCTGCAGACGCGAGCCCCCATGTGACCCTGGCCCCACGCAAGGACTCCTTACCCCAGCTTCAGCCTGGACTGGTTTGGTCACATAACCTGACTCTAAGGCACACCTGCAGCTAGGGACTTCTTTTAGGAACATGTGCAGCCACCTTTAGAGACTGGCCAGACAGTGGAAGGCCAGTCTTGGCCCCCCATAAGAAGATGGAAGATCGAGGGCCTGCCTGATTGGATGATGAGTTCCTGGATCCAGCCCAGCCTGAGGCTACTTTACCCTTGAACTTTTGTAACAAGAACCAAGAAAGACCCTTTTCAATTCCACTAGATTAAATTTGGGTTCCATTAGTGACAGAGTTTGGCCCATGAAGGACATTCAGTGAGTAGGGAGGCAGTCAGGATGGAGTCACCATTCTGCCAAGCTCACTTGATTTGTAGGATGTTGGAGCAGGTTATCTGAGTCCACCCTTTCCCCAACAAAAACCAAGTGCAAATCATTTAAAAGAAATTGTAAGGGGAACTCTCAGCTCTCGGGCCTCACACTTCCACACCGGAGAGACCGCTGCGTCCTCCTCAGAACACGGGTCATCTCTCGGCCCCTCCTTGGTCCTCAGAATGGACCTGGCTACACACGTGTCTCAAAAGACAGTCAATGTGCTCAGGTCCTCAAGGGGTGCTCTTGTCCTCTCCTTCTCTGGTTTAAGAGCTACTGCAGCTGGACACATCTGTGCCCTGCACCCAATGGCCCAGGCCCCAGCGGTAGAAAAGCTGACCCCCACCTAAACACACCGGCCATGTTTTCCCATCCCTGGGGGAAACCTGGGCTGGAAGGATCGAACCGTGGACTGTGGACAAGGAACCAGGCCTTGCAGCCACCGTGTGAGTAAAACAAGTTGAGGCCTGAGGACGGCTGTGCCGGGGCTCGGCACCCGCCAGGGCCCTGAGGAGGCTGGGGTCTCCCTGAGCTGGGGGCACACTCCAGGTAGACAGGCACTGGTCTCAGGTGCTCCATGCACAGTCCCGCTCTGCCGTCTTGGAGGACTTCTGGCCCTACACCTTGCCATTCTTCAGACTCTGTTGTGAGATGGCTGATCTTTTCCCCGTTGCTGCTCTCCTCTGGACAAGTGTATCCCTCCCATGGATTGACCACCCTCCATGTGACACCCATACTCTGAACCGCCCTTGTTGAAAAGAACAGGTGGCCACAACTGTGTCTGCTGTGGTCCCATGCAAGACCACACGTGCCAGGAGGAGCATTCGCCAGACTGAAGCTAGCCAGCAGGATCCCAGGACTTTGGAACTGGGCTGAGAGGGTCCTGTTTCACCTACTGTTTCTTTAGCTGGGGAGCCAGGGCAAACATTAAGGGCTGGCCCAGGTGTCCCCAGCCTTGGGCCAAAAAGTCAGAGAAACCAGGTATCCAGAGGCTGACTCACACAAGGAACAGATGGGCGGAGCCGTGAATCAGTGATCCCCCATGAGGCCTCACCAGCCAGCACCTTCCCAGAGGGCTCCAGCATTCGGGACCACCGTGCACCCTTTCACAACCCACCCAACACACACAGCCCTGCATCGCCTCCTGATGAGGTCTCAGCTGAACTGCACCATGGCTAGGCACCGCCAGGGCAGAATCCTCCACCTGGACATCTTCAAGACCCTACATCCCACAGGGGAGATGGTCTGAGCCCCCAGAACTCAGCACATGCCCCAGAATTGCTGCCCACTTAGCTACTGTTCCCAGCCAGGGGCACCAGGAGACATAAATGGTTCTGGGCTCCTGGTCTCAGCCCTTGAAGTCCTGGGCATGGCCTAGCTCAGAGTGCAAGAATGTGTCTCATTCTGTCTCTAAGCATGTGCTCCCCATCTGTTTCATCTTGAACACAGGTGATTTCACCAGTATAAGCATACAAGTTGCTGCAGTAATTCACAATTCTAAAACATCTGCCCAGAATAAGAATTTGTCTTCTTAAATCAGTTTCCCAAACTTCTTCCCATGCACCCCAGGAAACCATGTACTGTGGGGAGTCTGGAGGGACTTTCCTCTGGGCATCCTCCCTAGGAAGGTGTCAGCCGAAATCCTTCCTGAGGAGGTGTCCAAAGACTCCCACCACCTGGTTCTTGGGAGAGAGGCCCAGCCCCTAGCCCCTGTGGGAGGTGGTGGGAGCACAGCTCAGGTACTTACTTCACCCGTGGGCCAAGAGAATTCACCATATCCAAGCTTCATGTGGAGCCCAAACTCCCCTCGGTAGACACAGCCATCCTGCCACTCCTGCACCCCTTGGACAAGCTGGATGTAGGTCCCCTTCAGGCTCTGCTCCCTCAGGGGGCCCTCAGACTCCTCACCTTCGTCTCTGGGGGGCACTGTCCCATCCCTAGGAAGAGAGCAAAGGGAGGCAGTAACAACAGGCTGAAACACCTGCACAGCGCCTGCCGGGACGGGCGACCACAACAGCAGGTACTCCACCTCCAGATGCACCACTGAGGGCAGAGTGTCTGCATGGGGACTCTGAGGTACCCAGGGGTGAGCACAAGGTGCATTTTATTCTTTCCTGCTCTTGCCATCTAAAGGTACACATCATAATTTAGACATGGATACCCAACACACACACCCCTCTGCCGCCCTCCCAACTCCCTGGGGAATGCTGTAAGCTGGTATCTGGGCTACAGACCTGCCCAATGTCTGGCTTATACCTCTGGGCCTGGGAACCTTCAGGTCCTGACCCCTCCACCAGCCAGCCCTGGAATGCCAATTGTGGCCCACAGAGGCCAAGAATATTATCTGCCGACAAGAGATTCTGCTGCTGAGAACACGAGTTCTACATTTGGTATATTGTTAACTATAGAGGACAGACACCCAGGACGGGATAGTGGATGGGGCACTGATGGGGTTTGTTTTCTCTCTTGCTTACCTGCTATTTCAGGTTGAGTTGAGTTGTGTCCACCCTCAAAATTTTAATGTTGGAGTCCTAAACCCAGCACCTCAGATGTGACCTTATTTGGAGATATGGTCTTCACAGAGTTAATCCTTTAAAGTGAGGTCATTAGATGAGCCCTACTCCATGAGAAGGGGGAAGCCTGGACATGGTAAAGATGACGGGGCTGGGTAGAGGGAGGAGATGATCATCTACCAGCCAATGATAGAGAAGGAGCCAATCCTACTGGCTCCTTGATCTTGGCCTTCCCCCTCCAAAGCTGGTCTGTGTGGTGCTTGTTACAGCAGCCCTGGCAAACTAATACACCTGTTTTTTCTCATTCTTCTACACGGGATAGGTACTGCTTGTTTAATAAAAGTTAACAATAATGGGGAAAGATAATCTATGGTAGGAATAGGAGAAATAGAAATTTTACTCTATTTTTTCCTGAGAAAAATGGAAATAATTTTGAGGTCAATGAAGACAATCGTAACACAAGCAGTCAGCTGTAAAACCCACCATAGGGTCATTGGAAATGGCCACCTGTGTCTGGCACCTCCCACTGGTTGGCCTATGTGGCTCCTCACCCTTCCTGATTGTCTGTCTCCTCCTCCGTAAGATGGAAACCCTGTTAGTCCTGCTGAGGTAGCTACAACAAACCACCACAGACTGGGGACAGATGAGGTGAGCTCTTAAACAGTGACAGTTATTTCTCACAGGTTTAAAGTGTGGAAGTCTGAGGTCATGAAGCTACTGGACTTGGTTCCTGGTGAGCGCTCTCTTCCTGGCTTACAGATGACACCTTCTCAAAGTGACTTCAGTGGCAGAGAGAGGGTGAGTAGCGAGTGCTCTGGCTGTTTTCCTCTTGTTATAAGGCACAGAGCCCATCATAGTGCCCCACCCTCCTGTCCTCACCTCAACCCACTCATCTCCCGAGGTCCACCCCTGAAGACCATCACACTGGGGTTGGAGCTTCAACTTGAGGATGCTGGGGTCCAGAGGCCTTGGATCCACACAAAGACAGGCATGATAGGGTCAGTTGCAGGTGGATTTCATGAGATGCTACAGATAAGGCTCTGGGGCAGCCCTTGACCCAAAGTAGCCCTTACTGTTAACAACACAGCAGTAAGGAGCTGTGTCAACTTGGGGAACAGTTCCTTCCATGTACTAGGAAGTGAAATGGACCGGCAGGCAGTGTTGCAGGCTAAAAGGGACACAGCGAGTTGGGGCATAGGATTCCAGTCACCCATAACATATGACATTTCCCTCAGTGCTTGTTAATACAATTTTGAGGCTTTTCTCTCTTTACAGAGACCAGTTTTTGTAAATTAGTGATTTTTAAGTCTGGCCCCAACTGTGAAACCTGGCTAATTCTGGCCCCTGGGTCATGGTCTGACCTCCCTGCCCGAGGGTCCCCTGCACCTTTCGGTGAAGAAGGCGTAACTGTCCAGTCCCTTGGCAGCAGGGGACTGGCCGCCCTGCTCCTCCAGCGCGCCTCTGGAGCTGTAAGCCTTTGAGGCTGCGTAGTCTAGGGGGACCTAGAAGCCACCACCTTCCGTGTCTGTTCTCCGAACCTGGAAGCAGACCCAGGGACCACAATCCGCCCTCAGGATGCTGCGGATACCGGGGGCGCTCACAGCGCCCACAGCCCCTGCCCGGGTCGAGCCATCACGCTCCTCCCGGAGCCGCGCCTCGCTGGCGGATCAGTGGTCCCTGCAGCTGGCCCTCAAAGGTCGGAGCCACGGGGAAGTCTGCCCGCTCCCCGGGACGCCACCGTCCCTTCCAACACCAGCCCCGCGCCACCGCCCTGGCCCTTGGAGCCGCACCCGAGCTGGGAGAACTAGCACCAGCGGGCACCGAGGCCACCAGCAGGACGCCCACGCAGTGGAGTCAAGGCTGGCGGAAAGCGTCGGGTTCCCCTGGAGACGGCCCCGCCCCGTGCCACGCCACTCTCCACCTCCACCAATCCCCGCAAGGTGCTGCGCTCCCTCCTCTCCAGGTCCGCCCTCCAGCCCCGCCCACCAATCCCCGCTGGGGGCGGCACCCTCGGTCCCGCCTCTACCGGTAGAGCCGTAGCTGCACCAGCCTGCTGGCTTTCAAGTGTCCCCAGGAACGCCGCGGTTCAGAGTCTGGGCCAGGTACTGCCAATACCTGCGAGGGGGAGAACGCGGAAAGGGAGACCCGCGGAAGCCGAGAACCAAGGTATTCTAGGACTCGACCAAGGCTTGATCAAGCCCCGCCTGATTGCAAAGCGGGGCTTTGGGGAATAGGTGTGCAGCCTGGTGCAGGGCAAGGCCTGGGGAAGATCTTAGGAACCCGGGACTCTGGAGCAGGGCTTCAGAGGGTGCGCAGGAGTGTACGTCCACAGGCGCGTTACAGGAGCTGGATTGGGTCGTGGAGAGGCGCCGGCGGTGGGAAGCCGTCCTGCAACAAGGAGCGGCCCTCTGAGGCAAGGATGGGGTGGTTGCCAGAAGCCCACCCCCCCAGGCCTCCCCAAAGGCAATCTTTCTGGGCTCCAAAGCAGAGGAGCCAGGACTCTGCCGTCTTAGGGTCCCCTCCTACATGCTCTAGTCTCCCAGTTCCTGTCTATTCCCTGGACCTCTTTAGCCCTTCGGTACCCACCTTGGTTCCTGGGTCCTCTACTTTTGACCGTTCAACCCCTGGCATCTCCTGGTGCCCCCCTCCCTCCAGCTGCATCGTGGGAGCTGAGCAGAGGCAAACTGAGTTGTTTAAGATCCATTTGTTATTGAGAGACATAAAACAGTCAAGGACGGGGATAGCTCAGTGATAGTGTGCTTGCCAAGCTTGCTCAAGGCTCTGGGTCCAAATCCCAGCACAGAAAGGAAGGAAGGAAAACAGTCAACTAAAACTTCAAATCACCCTACAAATCTGTGAAGCCAAACCATCTGTTGTGGATTGAATAGATAAGGTGAAATCCTACCCCCTCCATTCCTGGGAATGCAGCCTTTTCTTGGAGGTAGTTTTTGGAGATGTGATCAAATAAGGATGAGGCTATTTAGGTGGGTCTTAAACCAATGTCCAGTGTCCCTATGAGATGCAGAGACACAGACACAATGGGAGGACATTTCTGTTGTGAGACAACCGTCTGGTGTGGCCACAGCAGCTCTAGGAATTGAATACACTACTCAATAGGAGGAAAAAAAAAACTTCGTGGCAAACTTTCTAGCCTGACCATTTGGTCAGATTAGAAAGAATTTGACAATTTGGTCAGATTAGAAAAGATTCTGAAAACTACAATGTGGCAAAAAAAGAAAAGGTGTTCTGGAAACTTCTACACAATGGGGATAATTCAAGATGAAATGCTGAGATTTTGCTTATATTCATAAAGTATATGCACCAATGCCTTTTAAAACTAGGCATATCAAGATTGAAGAGCTCTATTTCCACAAATTGATACAAATATCACTACAAATATGTTCAAAAGGAATGTTTTCATAATATTAATATACTGAAAATATTTAGGAATATTAAAGTTTGTGGTAAATTGGCAAGCCTGGCAAATTTAGCAGACTAATAACTTAGGAAATGAATCCTGTAAATCACGGTGACTTGCTAAGTGGGAACAAATCTCCAGGAATGTCCCCACAGAAGGCATGTTCCAGCTATACCTCAGCAGCCGGGAGGGGGCTCCAGAGCCAAATCTCCGAGTGACTACAGCATGGCAATGGAGGTGGTGGCACTTGGGACAATTTGGGGACCAGTATGTTAGTTCAGTGGGGTACAGGAATGAAGTCTGATGTAGGAGACTTTAGAACAGAAAACCCACCTCAAAAACCCTCCAGTAAGGAGCCGAGGGGCGTTCAGGTTTGGTTGGATGCTGTGATCCAACTTTCCCCATTTCCTTTGCTTTCACCTAAAGCTGGCTTCCCCTTTGGGCCTTAAGGAGAGAACAGAGGTGCCTTCCCAATTCCTCCCTGCTATTGGCCCATATCAGAGACCAGACCTAATCCTGCAGCAGTGAAGAGTATGCCCTTCATTGATTTGCAGGAGCAATCAGAACCTCTCCTGGAGCTGGTAGACAGGGAATCTCCATCTCACTGGATGAATCCCATGAACTCTAGGGGGATACCATTCCCTCCTCATCCCAGGAAAGGAGGCCCCTTCCTTGGGATGGAGAAGAGGGAAATGGATGCTGGTAAGGCCTCCAGGGAATGAGACTGCAGCCAGTGAAGATTGGCTTCAAGATATTTGAGTATTTAGCTCAAAAGGGACCCAGGTTGCCATAACGATCTGACAAGTTGTCAACAATTGGTACCTGCAGGAGAGAATGCAGACCACTAGAAGACTGTACAGACACATTTTGTGCGATATCTGTAAGACTAGGTTGGGGGAAGGATGAAGAATGATTTCTGGCAGAATGATTTCAAATCTAAGAAAAGCACAGAGAGGAAGAGGAACTGTTTTTACTATTATTACAATAAAATTGAAACTACAATCAACTAAATGTCTGTGAGGCTATGAGTTGCTCTTCACTGTAACTGTTCCCTGAGAAATACTAAATATCAGAAAAATCGACTGAAGAGATCTTCTCTTTCTTGTTTTTTCCATACTGAGGATTAAACCCAGCAGGAGTGCTTAACCACTGAGCAACATCCACAGTTCTTTTTGAGAAAGTGTTTCACTAAATTGCTGAGGTTGGCTTTGAATTTGCAATGCTCCTGTCAGGCCTCCCGAATTGCTGGGATTACAATCATGTGCCACAACGCTGGGATGAAGAAATCCTAAAAGACTCTAAATAAGTTTAAAAAGTCATTAAGAAAAACAGAAATAATCCCGTCCTATGAAGAAATGACAAAAAGCTAATGGTAAATAGTTTTACTTTATATGAACCATGTTTTGCAATAAAAAGGGACATAAACTCAAAGATGACAAAGGACAATTTATTAGGAAATAGATAAAGGTATAACGCTGCAACAATAACAAAAACCCACAGGAGGATATCATTACCGTAGAAACATGTATGATTGTATGAAGGTGTAACCCTACTTCGTGTACAACCAGTGAAGTGAAAAAATGTACTCCATTTGTATACAATGAATCAAAGAGCATTCTTCTGTCATGTATACCTGATTAGAATTTAAAAAAAAAAAACCCACAGGAAACCAAGTGGCCTTCTGTCAATAGCCCATAGGACAACCACGAGGTCCTTATGAAAGCCAGAAGGACGCTGGTCAGTGTTGGATTAGCTACTCCTTGATCCAGTCCATGTCCACGTCTACCAACCACCCTTCCAGCACAGGGCCGCATGGCTCAAGCTAGTAGGGAACACTGTGGGGTCCTGAGACGCCCGCTTTCCGCCAATCAGAAAGCAGGCGCAAGGCCCCACCCACGCCACGGCCAATCGGAGTCAATGCCAGGCCACGCCCAACCCACGGCCAATCAGAGAGCCAATGCTAGGTCCCGCCCTAGCCACCCGCAGCTGACCCTAACCTTAACCCCGCCCGGCGGGCCCAGGCGCGGGCGGGACCTCGGCCCTAAGTAGACCCTCGGGGCGGTCACCGCGATGAGCCCGGAAAGAGCTGCCCACAGCAGGTCCCCCGAGGTCGCGCCGCCGACGTTCACGCTCGTCGCCCCCGCGCTCTTCCTCGGCAATGCGCGCGCCGCGGGCGCCACGGAACTGCTGCAGCGCTCGGGTATCACGTTATGTGTCAACGTCTCCCGCCTGCAGCCCGGCCCAAGCGCGCCCGGAGTGGCCGAGCTGCGGGTGCCCGTTTTCGACGACCCGCACGAGGACCTGCTGGTGCATCTGGAGCCCACCTGTGCCGCCATGGAGGCCGCGGTGCGCGCCGGTGGCGCCTGCCTGGTCTACTGCAAGAACGGTCGCAGCCGCTCAGCCGCTGTCTGCACTGCCTACCTCATGCGATACCGCGGCCTCTCCCTGGAACGGGCCTTTCAGGTTGGGGCTTCCGGGGCGGGGCCCGCTTTCGAGGGTGCGTCTTCCGGTAGGGGGCGGGGCGGGGCCCACCCAGAGAAGGCCCTCTGGCTTGACTGGGCGTGGCCTCTCCGGCCGGGGCGGGGTCCACTCGGGGGCGGGCCTTCTAGATGGGCGGGGCCTGCTCTCAAGGGCGGGCCTTCCGCGCGGCTGCTCTCGCCTGGCGTGGCCCGAGTTCTGCGAAACCAGCGCGGGCTGACGTTGGGTTCCTCTCTTGTTCGCAGACTGTCAAGATCGCCCGCCCGGTAGCCGAACCCAATCCGGGTTTCTGGTGTCAGCTCGAGAAGTACGAGCAGATCATCCAGGCCCAGGCCCGCCAGGCCCGGGAGCCCGCTGACCCCGGAAGTGCGCGACATGGACCCCAGCCAGCCGCGCGGTAGCCTTCAGAAGCCGGGCGGGAAGGGCGTTTGCTAAGGAGAGGCGGGACGTGCCCTGGTCACCGCCGCGGCTGGGCTCCACTTCCCCCAAGCCGCGTCTTCCCGAAGTGCAGTTCAAAGGAGGGGACTGGGAATCCGCTGCCAAGACCGACCATCTCTTCCTCTCACCCTTGGTCAGCTTCGTTTGTTCGTAGGTTTTGGTCAAATCTAAACCAGAGGTGGGGACGGGGACCGGATCCCAGCTGCCAGAACTCCTCCTGCCCTTTCCCAGCGCTGAGCGCGGGACCCACAGCTGAGGGCATGCGCTGCTCAGGCCTGCTGGAGCCTCAGTGCTTAGGGAGGCAGGACTTGCTGGAGCCTCAGTGCTTAGGGAGGCAGGACTTGCTGGAGCCTCAGTGCTTAGGGAGGCAGGACTTGCTGGAGCCTCAGTGCTTAGGGAGGCAGGACTTGCTGGAGCCTCAGTGCTTAGGGAGGCAGGACTTGCTGGAGCCTCAGTGCTTAGGGAGGCAGGACTTGCTGGAGCCTCAGTGCTTAGGGAGGCAGGACTTGCTGGAGCCTCAGTGCTTAGGGAGGCAGGACTTGCTGGAGCCTCAGTGCTTAGGGAGGCAGGACTTGCTGGAGCCTCAGTGCTTAGGGAGGCAGGACTTGCTGGAGCCTCAGTGCTTAGGGAGGCAGGACTTGCTGGAGCCTCAGTGCTTAGGGAGGCAGGACTTGCTGGAGCCTCAGTGCTTAGGGAGGCAGGACTTGCTGGAGCCTCAGTGCTTAGGGAGGCAGGACTTGCTGGAGCCTCAGTGCTTAGGGAGGCTGGACTTGCTGGAGCCTCAGTGCTTAGGGAGGCAGGACTTGCTGGAGCCTCAGTGCTTAGGGAGGCAGGACTTGCTGGAGCCTCAGTGCTTAGGGAGGCAGGACTTGCTGGAGCCTCAGTGCTTAGGGAGGCAGGACTTGCTGGAGCCTCAGTGCTTAGGGAGGCAGGACTTGCTGGAGCCTCAGTGCTTAGGGAGGCAGGACTTGCTGGAGCCTCAGTGCTTAGGGAGGCAGGACTTGCTGGAGCCTCAGTGCTTAGGGAGGCAGGACTTGCTGGAGCCTCAGTGCTTAGGGAGGCAGGACTTGCTGGAGCCTCAGTGCTTAGGGAGGCAGGACTTGCTGGAGCCTCAGTGCTTAGGGAGGCTGGACTTGCTGGAGCCTCAGTGCTTAGGGAGGCAGGACTTGCTGGAGCCTCAGTGCTTAGGGAGGCAGGACTTGCTGGAGCCTCAGTGCTTAGGGAGGCAGGACTTGCTGGAGCCTCAGTGCTTAGGGAGGCAGGACTTGCTGGAGCCTCAGTGCTTAGGGAGGCAGGACTTGCTGGAGCCTCAGTGCTTAGGGAGGCAGGACTTGCTGGAGCCTCAGTGCTTAGGGAGGCTGGACTTGCTGGAGCCTCAGTGCTTAGGGAGGCAGGACTTGCTGGAGCCTCAGTGCTTAGGGAGGCAGGACTTGCTGGAGCCTCAGTGCTTAGGGAGGCAGGACTTGCTGGAGCCTCAGTGCTTAGGGAGGCAGGACTTGCTGGAGCCTCAGTGCTTAGGGAGGCTGGACTTGCTGGAGCCTCAGTGCTTAGGGAGGCTGGACTTGCTGGAGCCTCAGTGCTTAGGGAGGCAGGACTTGCTGGAGCCTCAGTGCTTAGGGAGGCTGGACTTGCTGGTCCCTCAGTGCTTAGGGAGGCTGGACTTGCTGGAGCCTCAGTGCTTAGGGAGGCTCGATATGCCTCCTCCGCCTGTCAACGTGGCGCCTGACCCAGCAGCAGGCAGCCCTCTGCGGCCTCCTCGTGGAGGGTGGACCCCTAGTTCAGATAGGCCATCTGATGTTCTTTGGCCTTTAAACTCCTAGGAAATTAGTCACAGTCCACACTCCTTAAATAAGATAGTGGGGAAGGAGAACAGCACTCGGTGATTCCATGAATTACAGATACTGCAGTCTTTGGCTAATATGTATAAAGCAACGAGTAAAGTGCTGTAGTTGGTGTTTGTGTGCCTCTCCAGTCCTTCACTGTCCTACCCTTGTCCAGAGCCTCAGCTCCTCCTGGCTCTGCTCGTCACTTGGGGCGCAGTGGCCTCCACACCTGCATCACACAGCCTGGGCACTGGAGATCTTCCTCCTGCCTCATGATCAGCACAAAGCTGCACCACTCCGTGAAGGTCAGAATCAGTCCCCACCCTGCAGAGCAGCCCTGGGTTTGCCTCTGAGGAGTCCAAATAGCTGGGTGGTGTCAACCTCCTGCAAAGAGGACACTTGTCTACAGCTTTCCACCCGCGGAATGAAGCTGAAGGATAGGAAGCAGTTTCACAATAATTTGTGAAAATTATTGTGGTAATAGTGAGGGACCCACCCCTCCCTGCCCCTGTACACCTGGACCTAGATTTCTGGCTGTGTAGGGTGCCACCCGACCCTGCTCATTGTTACTTGTCAGCAATGTCCATCCCTGTGTCCAGGCTTGCGTCCCCTGGTCTCTCATAGCCATTCCACCCTCCCATCAACCCTGTGATTGCTACTGACCTGTCTCCATTTGGCTGGCTCAGCTGCAGGGCTTGCTGGGAAGGGGAACCTGGCCCGGGGTTTTACCCAGTGTGCCTGGATGATCCTTGCACATGACACCTTCAGTGAGGCCTCCAGCACCCTCTCATCAGGGCTAGACACACCCCCTGACCTGCTCTAGGTGACAAGGGTAGAAGAGCCACAGGCTCAGGCAAGGCTGAGTATTTATAGGTCACTTCAGACACTATGCCAACAGTTCCATTTGCAGAGCTATCCAGCTGCTACTCCTATCAGACTCCCAGCACCTGTCCCAAGGATAGTAAGGCTCTTCTGAATGAAACTGCTTCCTTCTGGAGGCCTTTGCTGTCCTGCCAGCAAGCTGGAGCCCTGCCCATCTTGGTACTCACCTCCTAGTGAGACCAGGGACCCACTTGACCCCTGGGTGCCCGCCCAGGTTAAGAGGGGGCAGAACATCTGAGCATTAGAATGCCTGGGTGCATGCAGCATGTCAGAGCTGCTTCACTGACCCTGATCACCAAAAGGCTGGAGTTCCTCTGGGAGAAACCAGGGGCAGTCCTGATTTCAGGTTTTTTTTTTGAGTCAGGATGAAGCCGCAGGGGACCTAGGGCGCAATGCTGAGTCCAGCAGCCAGGGGGCAATCCAGGCAGTCGCCCTGGTGGGGGTGGGGTTTCAGGTTGGGAGGGGCGTTGCTGGAGGCACCTATGGGCTTGCCTCTGCAGCTTACTGGTTTCCCAAGTCACATAGAGCTTCCAGCACCTGCAGGGTGTCCTGGTGGGCTGACTTCAGTAATCACCGTGTTTTGTCTCAGAAGACTTCCTGTGTTAGCACCTTATAAATGTGGTGTGGAGGCACGGCCCTGCCCAGCTAGGGAAGAGATAGAACAGCTCCTTTGGATTGGCAGGGTTGCCCCGCTCCACCCTCCCAACGTGCAGAACCAGTTGTGGGGAGGTGACCAGGGCTCTCCAGGAGGGAAAGGATGAGTCCCCAACCCCTGCCCCCCGCCAGTCCAACTGGGGAGACTAGGGTGGCAGGATCCCATGCTCCATTGATGGCAAGAAGGGCAACAAGGGCCTGAAGACTTCCAGACCCAGGCCAACTAGCCAGGGTGGGGTCTGGAAGATGAGCCGAACTGACAGTGCCATCTAAAACAGTCTGATCCAGGGCTGTCACCTGGGCAGGGTGTTGGGACCCCAGGTAACTGGTCCCTGAAAGGCAGCAAAGAGTGATCCCACCTCAGTTCTCTTCCCTCTTGTCTTGGATCAGGACTGACCTCTGTGTCTCACTGACAGAGCCTTGGGGTTCCTGGAGTTTGGAGTGCTCCCCAGCTAAGAGGTCACATGGAGACCTGAGGAGCCACAGGAAATGTGAAGGGATGCCTCAGCGCTCACACCCCACATCTGGGAAGGGGTCTTTCCACCGGAGCAGCAGGAAGGGCCACGTTGGTTACAGGTTGAAAGACTGGGTCCAGACAGCTTGAGCACTACCTAGGAATGAACAGGCACACCTTGATCCAGAAGGAGAGAAAAGACACTCCAAGAACCTGCGTTCTCACACCCTTGTCCACAGCCAGTGCTGGGCACCAGGCAGACCCCACCGGTGAGAAGGTCTCTGAGTCCAGGCCTAGTGCAAGCGGGCCCTGGGAAAAGTGGCCGAGCAGCACAGAATGCAGTTTCAAACAGTCTGCCCTGCAGCCAGGCCAGTGCTTAAGGCAGCCCGGCTTAAGAGAACTTTCCCTAAGCATGGGGGCATTTCCCGTCTGCTGTCCATTCCCCGACTGCAACACACAGGTAGACTCCGAAATATGGCTGTGTAAGTGACAGCTGTGCTTAATTTAAATATAAACAGGCACACACGCAAGGGCTGCGGTACTTGCTACCTCATCCTTGAAGCTCCTGGGCTCTATTAACACCGCGTGCCAGACACCAGCCAACTGTCTGACTCGCGAGTAGGTGGGTCGGGGACATCACTCCCAGGGCCTGCACCCAGAAGAGACGGTCAGCGCCGAGTTCCCGACATTGCACTCCCCGGACACAGACCACACAAGCTACAACCCTCCCGGTACCCGAGGTGTTGCCCGGCTCAGCAGCCGCCGCTGCAGTAGCTGGCCGGCTACAAACTGAAAGAGCGGTGACCCCGCCCCCGGAGTCTCCCCTGCGCGGCCAGGTGGAAAGTGAAGAGAGCAGGGCTGGGGAGCGCGCACAGGTACCCCACGCGCCGGGGCCCCTAGCTCCCAACACAGTGCCCGGGATCACAGCGTCCTGGTTCCTGCGCCCTCTCCACTCAGCGCTCGGCGCCCCATGCCCGGCCCGCCCCGCTGGCGCACAGGCCCGGGCCCCGCGCACAGCGCCCCCGGCGGCGGCCGAGCGGAGCCCGAGCGGGGCGGCGCACGGCGCGGGGCCGGGCCGGGCGGCTCCCGGCGCGACTTCCTGTTGTGCCCGCGCCCCGCCGCCGCCGCCGCCGCCGCAGCCCGGCGCCCCTTGCCCGCCGCCCGCGGCCCGGCGTGGCCGCAGCCCATGGATTTCACTTAGCGCCAGCGGCCATGGCGGCACAGTGCTGCTGCCGCAAGGCGCCTGGCGCGGAGGCCGCACCCGCCCGCCCGCCGCCCGAGCCGCCGCCCGCCCTGGACGTGGCCTCGGCCTCCAGCGCGCAGCTCTTCCGCCTCCGCCACCTGCAGCTGGGCCTGGAGCTGCGGCCCGAGGCGCGCGAGCTGGCCGGCTGCCTGGTGCTCGAGCTGTGCGCGCTGCGGCCCGCGCCCCGCGCGCTCGTGCTCGACGCGCACCCGGCCCTGCGCCTGCACTCGGCAGCCTTCCGCCGCGCCCCCGCCGCCGCCGAGACGCCCTGCGCCTTCGCCTTCCCCGCCCCGGGGCCGGGGCCCCCGCCGCCCCCGCTGCCCGCCTTCCCCGAGGGTCCCGGCACCGAGCCCGCCTCCTGCCCTCTGGCCTTCAGGCTGGACCCGTTCACCGACTATGGCTCCTCGCTCACGGTCACTCTGCCGCCTGAACTGCAGGCGCACCATCCCTTCCAGGTCATCCTGCGCTACACCTCGACCGACGCCCCCGCCGTGAGTCCCTCCCGGTGCGCGCAGGGGCTACGAGGCAGGGTGGTGGTGGTGGTCCGCAGGGCTCTCCAGGTGGCTTCTTGCCGCGCTGCCAGGCCAGGAGACCTTAATCTGCACCCTGCACATGGGGCACCTGCAGAGAACGTGGGGGCAGCTTGGCTCTGGAGTCCTGCCCTAGTGCCTTCTGCAATTCCCAGCTGCTTCCTGTGAACACTTAGGAACTTTGGATAAAGCTCCAGGTCCAGGCCCGGTGGCAGTGGGGACCGTGACAGCATGTCACCCAGCGAGGTCCCTGTTAAGATGTTCTGTCCATGTCTGGGCTCAAGAGCAGCTTCTGATGGGCACCTGCCAAGCCATACTGGAGCCTGGCATTGAGGGGCTGGGGATGTAAGATGCAGAAGGGCCTCCTAGTGACCTTGCCTTCAGAGGGCTCAAACACCCACATCTGTTCTTTGGAAGTGGGCTGAGGGAAGGCCAGTCCCAGTGGGAGGCAGAGGAGAGGCTGGTGGACTGTGGGGCTTGGCTCTGGGCTCCAGCGCTGGGCTGGCAGTGTGCTGAGGAGGGTGGGCCTCATGCTCCCGGCACAGATGCACTAGGCTCTGCAGGGCTTTTGGCAAAAGGCACCCCACCACTCCAGAGGACCTGCCAGAAAAGCCACGTGATCCAAGTCAGGCATTGTGACTACATGGCCAATGGTGGGGCTTGCAGGATGGAGCAGAGCCTTTCAGTTCCAAAGCATAGTAGTTCATGCCAGGTCCCCAGGAAGCACATAAAGCACACATATGACATCCAGTGTGCAAACACAGCATGTTCACAGCTCTGGAAGTCTTGGAAGGTCTGTTTTTCCTCTGCCTGGGACACCCAAATGGACAGGTCAGAAATCAGGATGGGCCAAGGTGACAACTGGGCAGGAAAAGCCCAGATTGGAGGTACACCTGTGGGCCTCCTGCACTTTCCCAGGAGCTCTGAGCAGAGCCTGCCACTTCACTGTCCTCCCAGAGCCCTGTGGGTCTGCCAGCTGCTGGCCCGCAGGGCTCGACCCTGCATGTGCAGTCCAGGGCTCTCTGGTGTCAGGTGTGCCTCTCTGCATGACAAGTGAGAACTGAGGAACAACTTCCTTCCCTGGACCTCATCTTGAACTTGGACTCCATGTGTCTGCTCTACCAGTGCCAGCCAAGTGGAGGGCCAGGGCTTTTGCCAGGCTGTGCAGACAGGGCCAGTGCGTAAAGTGTGGCCATTGTTTCTGAGCTTCCCTTGCCCTGCAGGGCGTCCCTTGATTGTTTCAGACAGGGAATGGTGATGCAGTCCCTTCAGACTGAGTGGGTCCAGGATTGGTGGCTGGGGACCAGGCTTGATGTGTGAGCTAGTCTATTTGCAGAAGCAGAGTGGCCTCTAGCTTTGGGCATTCACCGTTGCATGTGAGCACTGCAGAGCTCAGGGTCATGCCCCTAAGCCTGTCTTTCTGCCAAGCAGGGGAACAGCTGGGTTGTCCCACTCCCTGCCAGTAGGCCCTCCAGAGGGGCTGCATGCTCTGGTCCATGCCCTCACACCCCAGCAAGAACAGCTTTTTTCCTGACCCGCAGTGTCTGTTCCTTCCCTACCAGATCGATGTTCAGCGGCTGAACAGGTTGCCCTGCTGGGGCTCAGTGACCCACCTCTGGGGTAGGGGCCAGCCTCTCAATGGAGAGCATACAGCTGAGGTTAAGGGGTGAGAGCTGGGGAGAGCCTGAGGGGCCCCTGGGGAGGGAGGGAGGGCACTGCAGGAGTGGAGACAATGCAGAGGAGGAAGCAGGCTAAAGGCACGTGAGAACGGCCAGGGCCTGTCCTCCAGCATGGTCAGGGAACACCTGCAGAGGGCTTCACGCACTGCAGGGACACTCCGCCACATAGGTCCCTAGGTTCTGGGCCTGCAGATCCCAGAGCTCTGGGGCAGGACCAGGAGGCTGCACAAGGTCCCGAGACAGGTCTCTAGGGCAGCCCTGGGCCACCAGAAACAGAACCTCCGTAGGCTTGCTATGGTGAGGAGACAGGAACAGGACACAGAAGGAAGAAATCTGCCAACAGACAGGAGTCAGATCTGTATGGAAGGCAGCACTTCCGGACCTGGGACCCGCCTGAGTGTGGGGTCTGCAGGGCAGGCAGCCAGCCCCCTGGTCTGGGGGTGGCTGCTCTCAGGTCTGGCCTCTATACCCCCTATGATAGTGGCCACTTTCAATTGCAGATCTGCCCACTCTTAGAGGACAGTTGGAGGTGTCTTCCAGTTGTGGCCTGTTTGTTCGACTTTGTTTCGGCAATCAAACTGCCCCCTTCGCTGGCAGGGTGGGTGCAGGACCAGGCAGCATAGTGGCAGCTCTCAGGGTGGGCCTGGCCTCCTCCTCTGAGGTACAGAAAGTCTCAGCAGCAATGGGGTGGGCGGGAGGCTTGGCCCTGAGGGTGGGCAAGAAGAGCAAACCAAGCCACCTGCTCCAGCCCTGCCTCCAGGCACAGCCCGAAGCCCTCCATGGCCACTCCTGTCCTCTTGGCCCTTGGTGTCTGGCCTCCATTTACTGGCAGGCTGCCCTGGCCTGAATGCTGGCCCTGGGCACAGGCTGACTCCTTGGCAGTGCTGGTCGCAGGAGGTTCTGGTTTTCCTGCTTTCTGTGATCCTGGCTGAGACCAGGTTGGCTGCCAGCTGTGGGGGTTTGGACCAGGTTCTGCTGTGCCTTGGTTCCCCTTTGAAGCTCGGGTAATGCCATGAAGGGCTCTCTTCTCTCCTCCCTGTTAGGACTGGGCTGGACCCAGACATATGGCCTCCTTCCCGGGCACAGCCTGGCTCTGGGGACTAGGGCAGGCCACAGGCCATGCTCTAGCTAATGACTCTTGCTGTTCCCCCCACCCGGGGAGAGGTGAGGACACCAGGTGGGCAGTGCAGGCTATGGACAGGAGCTGTGGTCTGTGACAAGCCCAGCAGTGGTCCCCTTCCAGACCCCTACTGCCTTCCTCTCCTGCCACTGCCCCTTCCTTGGCCCCAAGGCTCTGGCCTCCAGCCTCAGGCCAGGTGACTGCTGACCCTCAACCCTGCCTGCAGATCTGGTGGCTGGACCCAGAGCTGACCTACGGCAACGCCAAGCCCTTCGTCTTCACCCAGGGCCACTCCGTGTGCAACCGCTCCTTCTTCCCGTGCTTCGACACACCTGCCGTCAAGTGCACCTACTCAGCTGTGGTCAAGGTCGGGGCCCACCCGTGCCTCCTTCAGGGGCTGCATGAAGGGCCCAGGCCACTGGCCTGGCTAGCCTACCTCCTCTTCTCTGTTGCCTGTTTGGGCTGTGGCCTCAGATGCCACTAGGCCACTGTCCTAGAGAAATCCACCTCCCCACTGTGCAGAAGGACATCTCTGCAGGGAGGGTGGCCAGGTTGCATTCCTGATGAGGGCCCTTCCTAGACCACAGCGAGGCCCTGACTGGACAAGAAGCCTTCTGTCAGGAGCATGGCTTGTAGGGCTGTCTGACGGGATGTTGGGTTCCCTCTCATGGATGGGGAGCTCCTTGACCGAGATTGTGGGACCCCCCACCCAGGGGAGAGGTGGGGACACCAGGTGGGCAGTGCAGGACCCCCCATTGGAAGGTATAGGGCTCCCTGGTGAAGACCTGGGTCCCTATCACAGATATGGGTCTCCTGTCCTGGGGGTGAGTGCCCTGCCTGGTAGACTGCCTATCCTCAGCTGGCCCCCTTGCAGGCCCCATCAGGGGTACAGGTGCTAATGAGTGCCACCCAGAGTGTGTACCTGGAGGAGGAAGGTGTCTACCGCTTCCACATGGAGCACCCTGTGCCAGCCTACCTCGTGGCCCTTGTGGCTGGAGACCTCAAGCCAGCAGACATCGGACCCAGGTAGGCCTCCGGTCCTGCTGCTCCCATGCAAGGTGGTCCAGGCCTCAGGCAGAGCCCCCACAGCCTGGGTCTGCACCCTGCACCCACAGCTGCCCTGCCGAGGCCCCTGGGCTGCAGGTATGTGACCTGCTGCCAGGCCCTGCTCATCCACACATTCTCAGACCAGACAGCCTGACCTGTCCAGTGCTCTATCAGCCTGAACTTCCAGGGCCACATGCAGCCACATGCTCTCGCAGGTTCCTTTACCCAGTGACAGAGCAGATCAAAAGGTCGCAGAGTGCGGGGCCACCCCTGCACTCGGGAGGGAAGGGCCACTGTAGCCCCTGTCCAGGGTGGTGAGCTAAGGCAGTCAGCCTGCCAGAGGAGGCAGAAGGAAGGCCTCAGCCCACCCTCTGCACCCTCTGCAGGAGCCGCGTGTGGGCAGAACCATGTCTCCTCCCCACGGCCACCAGCAAGCTGTCAGGGGTGGTGGAGCAGTGGCTGAGTGCGGCAGAGCGGCTCTACGGGCCGTACATGTGGGGCAGGTACGTCCTGTCCCCTGGCGGCCTGCCACCACTTGAGGGAGGCCACGTCCCTGCCCTCTGGAGGAAGAAGGGGCATGCCCTAGGCCCTGTCCCCCATCTCCTGGGAAGAAGGGAACTCCCTGCAGGGCTGGAGTGCTGCCCCTGATGGAGGGCCTGTGAGGCCTGCTGATGCCCCCCGTCACCTGCACTCACGGCACAGGTACGACATTGTCTTCCTGCCCCCCTCCTTCCCCATCGTGGCCATGGAGAACCCCTGCCTCACCTTCATCATCTCCTCCATCCTGGAGAGTGACGAGTTTCTGGTCATTGATGTCATCCATGAGGTGGCCCACAGCTGGTTTGGCAATGCCGTCACCAACGCCACGTGGGAGGAGATGTGGCTCAGCGAGGGCCTGGCCACCTACGCACAGCGCCGCATCACCACAGAGACCTATGGTACCACCTGGGGAGGAGTCTGGAGCCGCCTCGGGCAGATGGGGCACTGCCCTCTGCCAGGGGCTAGAGCTGGCCCAGCCTCCTGTGTTCTGTGTCCTGCTCTCCTCTGGGGTCTGGCCCACAGGCTCAGGGCAGGGAGCTCAAGGGCCAGCGTGGCTCCACTGTGGCAGCTCTCCCGACTCCACCACCTCCTCTCGCCTGCCTGGCCCTCCCCACCCAGGTGCCGCCTTCACCTGCCTGGAGACAGCCTTCCGCCTGGACGCCCTACACAGGCAGATGAGGCTCCTTGGAGAGGACAGTCCAGTCAGCAAGCTGCAGGTCAAGCTGGAGCCAGGTGCCTGCTCCCACCAGGCCTGTGCCTGGGACCCGGTGGATGCCACCCACCCCTCAGGCCTCCTTCCCTGCCTCTGGCTTGCTCAGGCCGGGCTGAGTCCCCACAAAGGTCAGGATGGGTGTTCCCAGCCCAGGGAATGCCTTCTGGGCTACCCTGGCCTGCCCCTGTCTCATGCCTTCAAGTGCCCATCACTGAGATGTGGACCCTCAGGTGCCCGAGCCCCCAGGCAGGGAAGGGCCAGGCCCATCCCTGCACACCCAGGGTGCTAGTAGGACCCTGACCTTATGAGGGACAGTGGCCCTCTGCCCATCCTGCTCCTCAGTGCAGGCCACTGCCCTCCCCTCCCCTGCCAGCCCAGACAAGGTATTCCCTGCAGGCGTGAACCCCAGCCACCTGATGAACCTGTTCACCTATGAGAAGGGCTACTGCTTCGTGTACTACCTGTCCCAGCTCTGTGGAGACCCCCAGCGCTTCGACGACTTTCTCCGAGTGAGCATTGGACCTGCACCTCCTGCCTCACCCCGCCCCAGCACACAGGGCTGCCTGTCTTGGGGGGAGGGTGGCGTCCGTAGGGACACCCAGAGCCCTACCAGGACCTGGCCTGCTGAGACAGCACGGCCTTCCTCTCCTGTCCGCCCCAGTGGGCCGCTCACGTCCATGGCACACACCCTGAGTTGCTGTGAAGGCCCCAGCTCTGACCGGGGCCAGGCCTGGCCAGCCCTCCAGGCCTGCTCAGTGGCCGCCCCTCCCCCCACAGGCCTACGTGGAGAAGTTCAAGTTCACCAGCGTGGTGGCCCAGGACCTGCTGGGCTCCTTCCTGAGCTTCTTCCCAGAGCTGAAGGAGCAGAGTGTGGACTGCCGGGCAGGTGACAGTGGGGACCGTCTGCCCAAGCTGCGGGCCCTACCTGGAGAAAAGCCCCATCTGTCACATCTTTCCTTCAGCCAGCCCTCACTGGCCCCCGTGGACCCCAAGCCTGGACCACGAGCACAAAGGAGGCTGTGCCTCCCAGCCTGAGGGGGCCTCCTGGAGGAGGCGGCACTTAGGTGGAGCAGGCCAAGTTAGGAGCCAGGGGACCAGGGCCCAGCGGGATCCTAGGGGGCAGGGTTGGCCCTGCTGGCTCCACTACACCACACCCTCGAGGACTTCCCAGAGGGTCTGAGGGTATGGGGGATCAAGGAAGGAACTGGAGGGTCCTGAAATCCAGGGAGGGGCCAGAATCCGTTGGAATGCAATGAGGCACAGCTGGGAGATCTGGGCACGGTGACCCTAAATTCTGGAAGGTCCCTAAGTGCATCAAGTGTTTTTGGGGGGTAGGGGAGTGGCCAGCCTGGTACCACTGCTTTAGAGCATGTGTCATCACCTCTCACAGTGAAGTCACCTTTAAAGGACTCAATTGTCTTGTGCCCAGGCTGGGCCTGGAGAGGGTGGAGGTCACATGGCCACTGACCCGAATCCTTCTGGCTTCCCTGTGACCTTCACGGGAGTCTCTTCGGGGGCTTAAAGAGGCAGGCACTGGCTGGAGATGACCCTTCCCCAATCACCCATGTCCCTGGGAGCCTCAGTTCCTGGAACCAGCCACTTCAGACTGGGTCTTCTGGGCAGCTGGGTGGGACCACAGGACCGCTGTTCCTTGCAGGGCTGGAGTTTGAGCGCTGGCTCAATGCCACGGGCCCACCGCTGGCCGAGCCGGACCTATCTCAGGGGTCCAGCCTGACCCGGCCTGTGGAGGCCCTGTTCCAGCTGTGGACGGCGGAGCCCCTCGATCAGGCGGCAGCGTCAGCCAGTGCCGTGGACATCTCCAAGTGGAGGACCTTCCAGACGGCACTCTTCCTGGACCGGCTCCTGGATGGGTCCCCGCTGCCTCAGGGTGGGTCCCTCAGCCAGCAGGTGGCCCTGGGGGGAGTGGCACTGGCCTGGCCTGACTTGCCGCTGCCCCACAGAGGTGGTGATGAGCCTGTCCAAGTGCTACTCCTCCCTCCTGGACTCCATGAACGCTGAGATCCGCATTCGCTGGCTGCAGATCGTGGTGCGCAACGACTACTACCCAGACCTCCACCGGGTGCGGCGCTTCCTGGAGAGCCAGGTGCAGACACCTGTCTGGGGTCGGGGCTGGGGGTGGCCTCACTCAGGGGCCCAACCACCCTCTCTCTCTCCAGCCTGACTGCTCAGGCAGGCAGGCACACCAGAGAGTTGGGTGGCAAGGTCTGGGGGTCTGGGCTGGGAACCGGCCTGAGTCGGGGGAGACAGGTATAAGTCAAAGCTCAGAGGCAGCCTGGACTGCACCAGTCCTGGGAGAGACCATGGAGGCCCAAGATGGGAGTTGGTGTCCAAGGGTCTCCGCTCACAGCCTGGACCTGGACCTAGCTGGGCCTCCAGCCTGTGGTGTTCAGCTCCCAGGTGGGCACAGGGGCATCCAAGTTCCTCCAACAGTGGCAGGTTCCAGCCTGTGGGACCTGACTTCCCTGGGGCACCCCTCCAGCCCAATCAGCATGGAAGAGGAGGTCAGGGTGACCGACTGGTGGGGGTCTTGGGCTGTGTGAGTCCAGACCAAGGCCTGGTGAAGCCGCTGGAGCAGGTCCAGGGATTGGAAGGCCTCCCGCCAGGCGGGGTTGGTGGGAGAGGCCCGGGGAGCCCACTAGGTGACCTGGTGTCCCCACAGATGTCGCGCATGTACACCATCCCACTGTATGAGGACCTCTGCACGGGTGCCCTCAAGTCCTTTGCGCTGGAGGTCTTCTATCAGACGCAGGGCCGGCTGCACCCCAATCTGCGCAGAACCATCCAGCAGATCCTGTCCCAGGGCCTGGGCCCCAGTGCCGAGGCCAGCACTGAGCCCGACGCTGAGCTGGCCAGAGCTGGGGCAGAGGCAGGGTCAGACTCGGCAGCCCTGCTGCTTGGCGACGAGGCCCCCAGTAGCGCCATCTCTCTCAGGGACGTCAACGTGTCTGCCTAGCCCTGACATTGGGCCAACCTTCAACCTCCCAGACACCAAGATTGTGCCTTCTGTGGCCCGGGCCGCCATGACTGCGCCTTGGCTCTGGCCACGAGCTCGGCCCGGGCCCGTGAGCCTCTCCCGTGGGCTCTCCCGTGGGCTCTCCCGGGGGCTCTCCCAGGCTGGGGGCTTGGGGAGAGGGATTCTGTCTAGTGGCAGCCCTGGGGGCCTGAGCTCACCCTGTCCCAGCTGTCCTGCACTGTGGGCCTCAGGACTGGCCTTATGCACCACGCCTCCCATCTCAACACTGACAGCCATGCGTGGCCCCGGACACCCGCACCTGCTGGACACCATCGTGGGACCGCAGCTCCAGCAGCTCATGGCGACCACCACACTGTGCCTTACGTCTGCAGACAGGCTGCACTGCCCCCGAGGCACAGCTTCCCCAGAACCCTGCACTGTTATCCCCTGGCAGAGGGACAAGGACGCGATGTACCCTCACTGTGGGGGCTGGGGACAGGAGAGAAGGGGCATCACATGGGGAGCCTTGGCCCCTCGGCACATGGAGTCCAGGCCCCAGAGGCCTGTTCTCCCAGCTGCCTGGGGTAGCGGCACAGCCACCCGGCTCACCCCAGGAAAGGGGTGGTGCTGATGCTCTTGGGGCACACCTGCTGGAGGCACCAGGTAGGAAGGCTCCAGCTTGGGACTGTGCAGTGGGCACCACGTGACTGTCCCATTAAACCTCCACTCTGCAGACTGACCTCCCTTTCTGTCTGTCCCCATGCCTGTCCTCTGCCCTGTATGGGGCTGGGGTTTGGGACAAGCACTGCCCCAGAGCCCACAGCAGCAGGCCTCCCCTTGTCCTCTGCCAGGCCTCCTGGGCATGAGCACAGCCTCCCCAGGACCTGCAAAGTGGCAGGCTGTCACACCCTGACTGTGGACCGTCACCCGAGTCTGGCCTTGGTGGCAGGGCTCTTCCACAGGGGAGTGCAGGCAGAGGCATTTGTGGCAGGGAGAGTCTTGGAGGTTACGGGTATAGGAACTGTAGGAAGTCCCCCAATGCAGGGCCACCACCATTATGGCAGGCCATGGGGTTTGATGTCCCCACTGTGACAAAGGCAGCTCTGCTCACAAGGTGGTGGCTGGCACAACTCCGCATAGCCACTCGAGGACTCAGGCTGGCAGCAGGGCCACCATCAGGACCGCACAGAACTTTGCTTCTTCCACCTGGGCAACATGCTGTGGCCTGGAGGTAACACATCTCTTGTCCCAGCTGGCTGGCCACCCTCCAGTCTCTGTCACCAGTTGTCTCATGCACCCTCTTTCCTGTTCAGGATGTACCCTCCCACCTCCCAGGGGAGACAGTCCAAGTACCCTCCAAAAGTTTGGGACCAGGGTTTGAGTCACCTCTCCATAAGATGGCTCATGTGCACAGTCTACCGCAGCACTGGGACATCCAGGGACAGGAACCCAGAGGTCACCTTACCCTCATACCAAGCACTGAACAGGGAGGGGATGGATGCAGTGGTGCCCTACACAGGAGAAGGACGGGGTCACCTGATCTCAGCCCTGCCGGGTGGCCACAACCAAAACCAGCACACAAGCTGCGTTCTCTGGACCTAGGCACCATCCTCATAAGGACCCACCCTTTTGCTGGTTCCTTGCCCTCGCCCCAATATGGGGCCCACAGAAAGGCTGTCCCTGGCAGCCTCTTCCCCATGAAAGCTGCCTCCAGGTCTCCAGTCAAACTAATCCCAGGCTCGTGGTTTCTTTGGCAATTATTCAAGGCAACACCTTTGTGGTCTCCGGCTTCCTGACCCCAGTGCCAGGCGCCACACCCGCACCCACAGAGCTGCCTCCAGACACTGCTTGGATCTGTCAGAAGAGACAGCTAGCAGTGATAGCCACAGTGGGGGCACACCCAGGATGCCATCCTTGATGCCACTCTGTCCTGGCTCTGCACACTCCCATCAGGGGGCAGAGGCATGCCCTTTGAGAAAGGCCCTGCCCTCCCGGCCTGCCTCACTGCCTTTCTCCAGCTGCCAAACCTGGAAGGTGCCATCGGTTCCCTTCCTGCAGGTCCTTGTCAAGGCAGCCTGTGACCAATCTTCACTGCCAACCCGCTCCCCACCTCCTCCGCTCCCACTCCTGTCAGTGCATGGCACCGGCTTCGCGAGGCCCACAGGTGAGCCAACATTCCAGCTGTGTTTGCTGACAGCCACGGCCCAGTCTGGTCAGTGCATGCCTGTGTTCTGTCAGGCTGGACTGCTGGAGCCACCAGCAATGCGGCAGCACTGCCGTCTGCAGCAAGGAAGTTCACGTCTCACTCAGGCTGCAGTCCACCTCGGCTGGCAGGGTGGCTGGGCTTTCTCCTTAGGGTGCTGATGGAGGAGACACTGGGGTTCCCAGGCACTGTGCCAGGATAACAAGAGCTGTGGAGGGCCCTACACCACTTCTGTTCCTGCAGGCCCACCCACCCCAGCCTGAGCACGGCAGTCGGGGTATTTGGCAGACAGCACCCATCACCACCGGAGGCCAGAATGTTGGGAAATGCCTGCCTTTAAGAACAGGGTAGGGGCTTACCAGCAGGTAGGAAGAGAGTGGTTAAAGGAACCAGGATGTTACTGAAAAGGGGACGGGGCCTTAGTGCAAGAGACTGGCCTCCAGAAGCCAGCTGGAGGGCTGAAGCCTGAGGCAACCGTGTGAGGAGGTGGGTGGATTTGCATGTTCAGTCCCTATTGCCTGGAGGCTCTCCAGTCCTTAGAGTTCAGGTGAAGTTTTCCGAGTCTCAGATAATGTCTTATGAAGTTAGACTTGTCCTTAGTGCTTCTCTTCCTTTCCCTACTCTTATTAAAACTTACTGGTGGTATTTGCTTCTTAAGTCCAGAGGTTTTGGACAGAATAGTGGGAACATCTAGCACAAAGATCAGACACAACTGAGAATAACTCACTTGGGTTAATAAACATGTGGAAAAGGACAACATGCTCAGCCAACCAAATTTAGACCAAACAGAATTGAAGAATGATCAGAAGAGGGCTTTAGGACACATTAAAGAATCGGACAAATGGTGCGTGTATCTGTGTGTCTGCATGCATGTAAAATAAACTATACAACAGGACTAGGTCTTTGTGAAACAAGAACAGGTAGTAATGAAAAAACAGCCAAATACCTTAGAATTTTTAAAAAGTTAATTATTAAGAGAAATAAAATGAAAATTCTGTAGAATAGTCACAATGAAGAGGAAATTCATAGCCTGGAATATCAAGACAGAGTGAAGTGATTTTTTTTTTTAAGAAAAAAAAGTACTAGAAACTACTTAAGATTTGGGGGTCAAGAAGTAAAAAATAAAACTACACAAAGAAGTTAAATTTGATCAAGGCATCCTAATCCTCAACCATTTGTTCCTCTTGTCATACTAGGGGCCTTACCAAGAGTCCTTCCTCCCACCAAGTCTTCAGCCTCCCTTTTCTGTAGCTGGTTTCTCCTCCTTCCTCCTCTGATTCTCATCTCTCTGCTTTCCCCATCAGCCCATCCCACTCATCCAGGTGGAGCCATGCCCTCAGAAGCCTACCTACCCAAGTACCCATGGAGGTTTCCCTAACAAAGGCTGTTTGTACTAAGAGGAATATGATGTCAGCTGCAAAGACTATCCTCCCACCCTCTTTCTCCATGAATAATCACTTGGTCAGACACTGGGAGAACAGAATCCCAAGAGAAGGGGAATCATAGCCAAGTGTGGGGCTGGGCAGGGACATCCTCAGTTATGTGTGGAGCGTGGTAAGGGTGTGGCCAGAGCCACTAGGCTCAGCACAGGACCTGAGAGAGCTCTTGCTGGCCAAGGCAGAGTGTTCAGACCACTGCCACCTAGAGAGCACTCTTTGTTCAAAATGAATGAACAAACAAAAACCTCACAGTCTCTCAAGTGGATTCAACAACCGTGATACTGGCAACAGCCCACATCTAAAATATGCTCACCTCTAAGGACGGAAGCCAACTTTGGAGACTATCTACATAATACTTATAAGGTTTAAGAACACACCTTGGGATAATAGGTTAAAAAAAAAATCCTATAAGAACCATGTATTGTTTTTGTAATGGGAAAAAAACCAAGGCTTAATCTAAAATATCACCAAGAAAGAGCCCCTGCTCTGCTGTGGTGAGCAGAGTGAACTAGGCCAGCCTGGTGTGAAGCACAGCTGGCCCCTCCAGAGATGCTGGTCTTTCCTCCTGTATGGTCCTCGGCCATGGCCTGCCGCCTCTGAAGCTTGAGTTCTTCACTCATAAAACAGGACAGGAATGCCGACCTCTGGGATGCGTAAGGATCACACAAACGACACTCAACATTCCAAAGGCAGCTCGTCCCTTCAAGTCTTTGGTATTTGTATTCGCCCAGGTAAACCCTCTTCACTATCCTTAGAAAGCCAACTATGGGCCAGGAAAGACCAAAGCTGGTTCCTGTTCTAGTCCTGCCTGGAAGGATTCCTCTAACTAGAACCTTTAGTGCTTGGTTTAAAGGTAAATTGTGTGTTTGTGTGGGAAAGGGGAGAAACCCAAGCTTCCAGGACCCCACCCCCACTGTATCAATCTGAGAAATTTCCCAGGAGATCCATGCTTGGGTCACTGGCAACCCCCTCAAAGCCCAGGACCATAACTGTTGCTAACTGTCCTTCAAGGACCAGGACTGTGAATGCCACTGACCACTCCTGGAGGCCCAAGAACAGTACCTTTGCTGACCACTCCCTATGGCCCAGGACTGGCTGCCTGATTTGTATCCTCAAGACCGTCGAACAGGCACTACCATGGACTATAGATGAGGAAGCGGAGGCTCCAGGAAGGGCCAGGACTCTAGCTGGGCAGGTCCAGGGGATCTTTGCTTAACAACACTGGAGATTCTGGAGCCTGGGCTGCTGCCTGGGGTCCCTTTTAGGCCCACTGGGGCAGGTGCCAGGCTCCTGTCACTTTTCAGGCTTGAAGGGGCAGGATGTGCACAGTGAAAACTGGCCCTGCAGGGACATGACAGCAGGCCTGGTCCCCAGCAGGTGGCCAACACGGGCTGCAGGTCTTCATTGGTCACGGGCCTGAACTACCCTGAAAACAAAGCTGTGTGCATTCTCCACTGTTCTTTGTCCCGCTGGCTTACTGATCTGATGGGGTCCAAAGTCAATCTCTTCCAATCCTGTGGTGCCACCACCTAGAGCACCTGCAGTCCCACCTTGTAATGATGAGTCACTAAGCGCCTTTTGTTCTTCTTGGATACTTCTGATTGAACCCAGGGGAGCTTCACCACTGAGCTACCTCCTAGTCCTTTTTATTTTTTGAGACAGGCCCTCACTAAACTGCTCAGGCTGGCCTCAAACTTGCCGTCCTTCTGTCTCAGCTTCCAAGTCACTGGGCGTGGGAGGCCAGTCTAGCACCTGACTCCCCTGCTGAAAGGTGTGGTATCCCACATGGCACCCAGCGGTCACACTGCTGGAGAGCCCTTTCTTCTAGGGTGCAAGCAACTGTGTCTTCTTGCAGAACTTCTGGCAGAACTCCACGTCCCCAGGGATCCAATCACCCCACCTGTCCCTGTAACCCCGCCCCCCTTGACCTTCACTGGATGGGATTTCCTAAGAATTTAGATTCCCCTAAGAAAAGCTCACTCCAAAACCTGCGCTCTGGCTCGCGCTCTCCCTCTCCCCAGCCTCGGTGTAGTTCCTCACTCTCCAGTTTGCAGAGCTTGAGGCCATGGGCAGAGGAGCCCTCCCAGTGCT